GTTGGAGAATGTCTCGCGGACGGCATCAACCTGAACGTCGTATTAGGACCACGCGGCTGCAGTACAATGCGAATTAGCCGACGCCTGCTTAGATTGACCTACCAATATTTTCTACTAGTGTGAAATTGAACCATTGATTGGGATAATTGTACAAATAGGGTGCCTTTTAACAGCATGAGTTGATCAAAATGAAGCTTTTGGTATTTCAAAACATTTTTTCGAAAATTATCTAATAGATTTACTGATGCTTTACTTGCTATCAAGTTTGAAACTTTGGTGTGATAGATTCGTTAATTAGCATAATCGGAATCCCAAGGAAGATTGTCTGAAATTCTTTCTCTTGATTTGATTAATTAAGTCATTGGCTCACCGTCCTATTTCGAGCTGAATCATTAATTTGATGGCGTCTGTTCCACTAACATATACATCATGAGAGCAAAAAACCTTTTTAAATAAAACGTTTCTAAGCTTTAAATTTAGAAAGATAGTTGGTTGATATTTTGTCCACTTCTGGCTAATTCAAGATATTAGGGGGATGTTGATTTTGTATGAAATTGAATGAAGAAGAGATTCTTTGGTCGTTCTCACCAGATGAGGACGGATAAATCTCGTTATATTGCAGCCGTTTGACTTTTATTCATGTTGACGCAGTCCACGAGACTTCCTCGTTTCGGGCGAAAACTTGCTGAGCTTTCGTCCATCATTCGATGGACATCATCAGAGCTGAGTGTCATTCTTGTAAAAGTCTCATGTTAACACTAAAGCAAAAACACTATCCGGCTCTATTTTACTTCTTATGTATTTAACCAAAAACTTAAAAAATAAAAACCTAGATAGATCGAGATAGAGTGGTTTGGTTAATTATCTTTCATACTGGTCCTGTTATTTTTGCTCCAGTGTATGCGTATGTGTATGTGTGCGTGTTAGCGCCTATATGCAATGCCGGTCGTAAATCAGAGTTGTTGAAGGTTTAATATCAGGTTCTGAGAAAGGGTGTTGTGCCGCCAGCAAAAAGTAGGCGACTCAATTTGTCTGCTCGGAGATGGTTCTAACTTCACTCACAGTCGTCAAATATGTTAGAATAAGCTTATCAACCAAACCAGACATGTCAGATTACGCAGCCCCAGTCCTGCCTTTCCTTGGAGGTTTAAACGTTAATAACCCTAGACTGAAAAGTTAGGACAAGTGCTTTCGTAACTTGACTTACATGCTTACAAGCTCATATCTCATTATCTCAACCATACTTGCTTACGGACTTACGCAGTCTCGGTCAAGGCTTTCTCTTGGGTCATTAGGTCTTGAGAATCAGAACCTATTATTAAATCTTTGACAACTGATTTAGGAGGCGTATTGCATCTAGACGCCAACATGCACGCATGCACACACGCATACACTCGAGCAAAAGTAACAGGATGAGTATGAAATATAATTAAACAAACCACTCTATATCGATCCATCTAGGTTTTTAATTTCATTTTGGCTCATTTGAGTCTATATAAGAAGTTGGATAGAGCCGGATAGTGTTCTTGCTTTAGTGTTAACGTGAGACTTTTACAAGAATGACACCCAGCTCTGGAGATGTCCATCGAATGATGGACGAAAGCTCAGCACGTTTTTTGCTCGAAACGAGGGAGGAAGTCTCGTGGACTGCGTCAACATGAATATCGTACAAAAGTCAAACGGCTGCAATATACCGAGATTTGTCCGTCCTCATCTGGTGAAAACGACTAACGAATCTCTTCTTCATTCACTTTCATACGAAATGAAAGTTGTCCTAACAATGTTTTCTCGAGAGACTCGTCGAAACCCAGTTTCTCTTTGTATTTATGAGTCGAGATGCATTTCGGTACATGAATGGCTATTTTGCTTTTTGGCTAGTTATATAATATTAAACAAATAGGAAGAAATAAAAAAATTCATTATGGAGCTATAACTTGATGGTAACTTACTCTGTATTTTCTTGTAAATTGACCATGCATCAAACTGGCTAAAAGTTTGTGTAGTAAACCTACGACCGTGTTTTTTAATTGACATCTGCCTAAAGTGCATATAGTAGTTGCTGACATAGCCTAACTTATTCACACATTTATAAAAATATCAGGTTTGAATTCATGGATAAAACAGTGAATACATTCCTTTTTTTTGTTGGAAGAAGGGATAAGCATCAAGGTGTAAAGTGTATTGAGTAGCCAACAATAAATCAGTAGTTCAACGTTGAGTTTTATATTTGCGTCAGGTTAAATATAATCTTGCTTGAGCTTTAGCAACGGAACTTAAGCCAAAACTATTTTGACGTAGTCAGACTATGTCTCCAACGTCTAATAGAACATATGAAGAACAAAACAGTGAGGCTCGTTGCATGGCCTTAATCTCCTTTTGCTGTATACAAGTTGTTTGACCCTGTCTTCGCAAATTGGACATATTGGTACGAAGACCTAGAGGAACTCACGTAGTCCGGAGTTTATACTATGCATAAGAGTTCCCAGAGTCGGAAGGTGAACCTAGTACATTACAAGACGTTTCGCTAGCATCTTAGTCAGCATCGTCAGGGAGTCTTGCCATTATTCGCACAATACTACAACTCATCAAAGAGGCACGTGAAGCAGATCATGTAACCAATTGTCTGCAAAACAATTGTGGTATCTCCTGCTCTGGGTAATTCACCAATACTACATCCTCATAGCACTCCTTCACTATACAAATTTCTTATTTACATGTAGCATGATGGTCTATTTTTAGCGGATTCCATGACAACTCTCCAAAACCCACACTGGCTTTCTCAGCCCTCCCTCCGTAATCCTCTTCCAATAGGTCTTTACAGATTCTTCCTCTTGCCCCGTAGGATTCGCCTCCTACCTTCCAGATTCAGGTAGTTCGCTCGACCCAGCCAACCTATCTGTACTATTTGATGCGTTATTTCCCACACTGTCTCATGCATTTCATAGCACTCACACTTCCTTCGCTGATTAGACCCCTAAAAATCAGGATTCTCATACTGGATGGGAGATTAACTTGAGGCTAAAGAGCCCGAAAAAGTCTCAACGTGTATGATCAAACACGTCTACTTTTAGCCAACTAGCTCTAGTCTCCACCGCATCTATCCCTCTTCTATAAAAAGTGCCAACTCGATGCCATCCTATGCCTTAATCTCTTGTACACCAACCCGCAAATGTTGTGCTTAACCGTGTTTGGATTAGGCTCACTTTAGACGTCCTCTCTTGGTTTACAATCGCCCCTTAATGGGCTCGCGATTTATTTTCCTAAAAGTAAAGATAATACCTTGATCCAGATCAGGATGGCATGGCCTTTTGCATGGTCGGGATCTCCTTGTTTGACCTTGCTTTAGCAACTTGTGCAAAGTTCATACAATTTATGATTATTTTATTTGGACCGTGCACTAGAAGCGTTCTCAGACGTTTCGTCGACATCGCAGACGACATCTTCAGTGAATCCTGCCATACTCAGCACCAAGTTACAACTCGTCAAAGAGACAAGTGATCTCGATCCTTTGACCAAATGTGTGCTGAACAGGTGTGGTATCTCTTCTTCATTTCTGAGCTATTCATCTATCCTATATCTTCACATCACCCCTTTAATATCACAATTTCTTATTTGTTTATCAAAGTCTATTTGAAACCTATTCACACTCCCACTGGTTCCCAACTCCCGTCAACTGTGCCGGGAGTGTTCATCCAAGGCTGCCATTTAATCCGCATTCCTTTCTCTTCGGGTCCTATCGAAGTCCTTTCCTGCTCCTTCGCATCTTTTCCTTTTCTGCCTGTTTCAGTGATTTCACGCCATCGCGGCCACCGTATCCGTGCTGCTAAAGACGTTATGTTGCACACTCTTCTCAATTGGCATGACAACCTAACTTGACGCTGGAGATTCCCTTATTGCTGTGCGGCATTTGCACTAAGTAAATCTCGTTGTCAAGCCTTTACTTCATGGCCCACGTATATGAGGATACGTATCTACCAATGGCTAACTAGAAATGGCCACCGTCGTTTCTATCGCTCTTCTTTGCTTTTATATTAAATGCCGACTTCCAAATGTGATGGTTCTACTTGGTTTAAATAGATTCACTGTAGACGTCTTCTCTGGGTTTCTGGTTATCCCGCTTTGGTCTACTTGAAATTTCTTTTCCTTAAATTAAACGTTTTACCTTTGACCACTCGTCTTCCTTTTGCTAATATTGTTGTTATCTGACCTTTTTCGAGTCTGCTTAGGCAGTATGAAAAGTTTTCGCTAATCCTGCCTACTTCAAGTCTCCTGTCCATTAGTTTTCTTTCGGTCAGGTTGTCGATGGCTTCCAGTATTTTGCATTTTATTATTATTCCACAATATGCAAGAAGTCTTTCTGTCGATGTCCATTCGATTTCGTGTCCCATCCGTGCAATGTGTTCCTCTATTTCGGAAATTCAATGGAAACGTCAGCGAACTCATATCATTTTGGGAAAATTCTTCTTCTACCAGTCCTTCATAACTTTAAACGAAGTTGGGTGAATACATCTCATATTAAGTATATTTAGCCTTTTATAAAACATTTAAGTGAATATAAAGGAAATCCGTTTTATCACAAATAATATG